CTAAAGAACTGGTTAATTAATAAATTTGTTGATAAGATAAATCATCTAGATGACACACCACTACTAGCAATTTTTGACTGGAGGCAGTATGTCGTAGTGTATAATGTTGGACATGGAGTAAGTAATCTTTTACTGGTTGTGGACTAGGGTGCAAGTCACTTAACCTCTCTCATCCTCAATTTTCTCACCTATGAAATGGGGATCACAATATCACATACATACAGGGTTATTGTGAGGATCAACTGATATAAAATGAAACAAATAAATATGTAAAGAACTTTGCAAACCTTAAAGAGCTACATAAATTTTAGCTATTACAACTAATAGTAAAAGTAGCAGTAGTAGCAGCAGCAGCAGCAGTAGCAGTAATAATAGTAGTAGCAGCAGTAGTAGTAGTGGTGGTGGCGATGGTGGTGAGTGATAGTGGTAGTCTATAAAGTACATAAAATAGGATTTTTTTTTGACTAGGCAATGAGGTTAAGCGACTTGCCCAAGGTCACACGGCTAGTAAGTGTTCCGTGTCTGAGGTCATATTTGAACTCAGGTCCTCCTGAATCCAGGGCCAGTGCTCCATCCACTGCGCCACCTAGCTGCCCCATAAAATATGAATTCTTGAAAGAAAAATAATGTTACTACAGTTCTGGATTTCTGAAATATATTTTTAAAACTCTTATCAGGATAGTCAAGGGGCTGTCATTATTGCTTATCTTATTCTGGGCAATAAGTATTATTCATTCACTTGCTTATGTTTGTTTTTCCCTCTGTAGATTGTCAGGGGCAACTCCTTTGATAGTTGTAGGTCTCATTTAGGAATCTCTGTAGCACTCTGGGTCTTAATAAAATCAGCACAATGTCACCTGTAGGACTCTGTCACCTGTTAGGAATCTCTTGTTAGGATTCTTCGAAAGCTTTCCTCTAAGAAAGTGGCCAATTTGATAAATAAATGTTTCCTTTGTGCCTTGCTCAATACTTATAATCCTGTAATAATCTATTGATAATTCTATGATAATCTAAAGTATCTCTGTGGTTGCAGCTATCAAAGAATACTGTATGATCTTAACATATACTATGCGGGAGCGCCACCTTGTTAGAAAAAAGCCTTTAAGACAGAATTTTCCTTACAGAGACAAATGATTTTCTATAATTGACAAATAATAGGAACACTGTACTTTTGTGTAGATTTCATGTCTAAGAAAGTATGACTTGATATCAAACATCATTTATTAACTTACCTATTATATTTTTGTCAAGAATGTTCATGCACATGCAGGTCCCATAATACGAAAATATTAATAGGAGCACTTTTGCAGTTAAAAAAAAATTAAAATGAAGTAGATAATCATGAAGCAGGGACTAGATGAAGAAATTATGGCAAATGAATATAAAGAAATATTTCAGCATTGTAAGAAATAACAGAATGATGAATTCAGAGAATCACTGGAAGACATATGACATTATATAATGTGTAAGCTGAATTAGAAAAGGAATATACACAATGATATGCTTCACCCCCAACCTCTCCTCCCTTCAACATTTTCTGTTATCGCCAAGGGCACTACCACCCTCCTCGTCCCCCAGACTCCTCCCAATAGAGATATAATTCTCAACTTCTCACTATCTCTCAGCTCCCATATCCCATTTGTTACTGAAGTCTGACAAGTTCACCTTTGTAACATCTCCCCAAAATGACCCCTTCTATCCTCTCATGCTGCTATCACCCTGGTGCAGTCCCCCACCTCCTCATGGCAGGACTCTTGCAATAGCTGCCTACTTGTGGGATTCCCCGCCTCAAGTCTCTCTTGACTCCAGTTCATCCTCTACTCAGCTGTCAAACTGACTTTTCTAAAGAGCAGGTCCAACCGTGTCACAGGCCAGGTGGTGCAGAGGATAGACTGCTGGGCTTTAAGTCAGAAGGCTCATCTTCCTGAGTTCAAATCTGGCCTCAGACATACACTAGCTGTGTGACCCTGGGCAAGTCGCTTTACCCTGGTAGCCTCAGTTTCCTCATTTGCAAAATGAGCTGGAGAAGGAAACGACAAACCACTCCAATATCTTTGCCGAGAAAACCCCAAACGGGAGCATGAAAAGTTGGACATCATGAACAAGAAAAATCGTGTCACCCTCCTACTCAATAAACTCTAGTGGCTCCCTATTTGGTGTTCAAAGCCCTTCACAACCTAGCCTCCCTCTCCGTGCCTGCCTTTCCTGTCTTCTTACACCCCATCCTTGCCCCTCACTCCCCCCCCAATCCCGTGCTCTTAGATCAGGAGACACTGGGCTCCCTGTCGTTCCTTGGACAAGATATTCCATTTCTTGCCTTGAGGCATGTTCACTGCCTGTCCCTAATACTGGAATCTTCTCTCTCCTCATCTCTGCCTCACGACTTCTCTGACTTCCTTCAAGTTCCAGCTAAAATCCCTTCGACAGAAAACCCTTACGAATCTTAGTTCTAGTTCCTTCCTTCTCTTGATTATTTGCCATTTATCCTCTCCATAGCATGTTTATACATAGCCATTTGCATGCTGTCTCCTCCATTGACAGCAGGGACTATTCTTTGCCTTTCTTTGTATCCCTAGCTCTTAGTACAGTGCCTAGCTCTGAATAAATGTTCACTCACTGACTGACAACGCAAATGAAAAGAACAGCGCAATAAAGCTGAATGTTAGACAACTATAATGACGAATCTTGATCCCAAAGGACAGATAAAGAAATTCACCTCTCTTCTTTCCTTGGAGGTAGGAGAGGATATGAGTGTAGAATGAAGCATACATTGTCAGACATAGGAAAGTTGGTTTTCCTTAGCTGTTTTTCTCTAAAATGACTTTGACATAAAACAAAGGGTACAATGAAACTTTAAAACCAAACAAAAAAAAATAATAGTGATAATACTGATAGCTAGCATTTAGAGTGCTTTATGGCTTGCAAAGCACTTTCTAAACAACCCAGGTAGGGGGGTAAGTTATCTCACCTACATATTAGGGAACTGAGGGAGACAAGTTAAGTGCCTTATATAGGGTCATACAGCTAGGAAGTGTCTGAGGCTGGATTTGAACTCAGATCTTCCTGACTACAGGTCCAGTACTCTATCTACTGTGCTTCCAAGCAACTAAGGAAATAAGCATCTAGGTTGGTCATCACTAACTCCTTAATCACTATTTTTTAATAGTAGAAATATCCAGATATTACTAGAGTTGGCCTAGGCAACTCTCTAAAACTGTAATTTGTGAATCTGGTACTGATCTGCACTGGTACAGGGAGTTTCCTCAATGGGAGTTCCCTATACTAGTGAAGTCACTGATTTTGTCCAAACAGTAATATATACAGAGTGCCCTAAAAGACTTTTGAGACACCCCATAGATATGTATATATACATATATGTGCAAGAGTGTATATAAATGTTATATGTATATATACATATACATGTGGGTATACATAAATACATGTGTATATATTATATGTGTAGACATATATGTATGTATGTGTGTGTGTATTCTGTAGCACCCATAATTTTTCCCAGTCTTTTAATATCTTTCCCTCTTTTAGATACCTTGAGAATTCCCTCAAAACCTCTAGCATGCACCCAAAGTTACTTTAGTATTTAAGATCCACCTTGGCCCTCATTCAGATGCTGAGAATCTCAGGCCCACAAGGCTGAGAACCTCTCATGCCCGCTCGTCCTTACAGGTGTCACCCGGCCTATATGTTTTACCGCTAATAAACTTTTCCTTTGGCTGAAGAAAAAAAAAACCCTCTAGCATGGATTTCTACCCACACTTGGATCAGTACACCAGTTCTTCCCACCTTTGTCTTCTTAGGACTATTTCCACTTCTTCCAAAAGGATATCAAGTACTAATGCTGGTTATAAACATGTCAGATACATTATCACTGGTGAAGAAAATGCTATAGGAATGCTAACAGGTCTTTTCTATTTGTCCTCTATTTGTTGTCTTCCGCCGAGTTTCATCTTTAAATGTTCTTTGGATGCACTGGCATTACTAGATTCTGATGGAAAATCCATTTGGGAGCAGTAAAGTTGCTATACTGGCATCCCAACTGATAGGTTTGAAAGCTGTTTTCTACTTGCTAAGGTCTTAAATTTCTAATGGACATTAAAATATTTAGAGGAGAAATGCACAGACCACCTTAATGTGGTGAAGATTAAGAGAGAATTTAGACATCTTTTATTGTAAAAGAGAGGAAACACATGTTGGACATCTTCAGGTTCAGGCTGTCCTAGTCTGTTTCCCTTGAAGCGTAGAACCCGAGTTAGCAGATTCTTCTTCAAAGCATTTTTTTCTATTTGCCTTTGGTGAACAAATTAATCATATTAGAAAGAGTAGAATTCACTGAAATATTAATCTAAGAGCAAAGCAGAAGGAGATGTGCACCTATTTCCCTCATGTTTCAGTTTTCGACCACTTCTTTCTGTAAAGCTGCAGATGTCTGGTGGTCTCTCGCTGAACTCCTGTGGTAGGTACTCATTTCCATTCAATGCCAAAGTATTTTTTAAAGTATTGCTTTATATCCTTTGGGAAATCAAATTTAAATTAACCTTAACAGTTACTATAAGAAATGTAAATTGGAAGAAGCTTAGCACTGTCTTACTAGTATATAATAAATACCATTTGAGAGAAAATGATATCTCAGGATGAAATAAGAAACTTCTTGTATTCTTTAAGGAATATATTCTTTACTAGGATAAATGAAGATTTCCCACAGAGATTTCTACAAATGTATGTTTGATAAAGAAGGAAGACTTCAAGTAAAACAAGCAAATTGTAACCTTAATGACAATTCAAATAACTTTTGTCTTTACAGTACTTTAATTCTAAATTTTAAAATGTATATAAAACTAGTTTAATATTTTATAAATCAATTTATTTTGTTGTTATTGGAAAATGAGATACTAATGATAGCATTCTTTGCTTTTGGGGGGACACTATGGATGTAGTTTAGTCAATTTCTCACTGCAGCAATTACTTAAGAAAAGATAATTTACCTGTTTTGAGAGACAGTTAGAATCTGTAATAAAGGAAGCCAGTATGAGGATAATATTTCTAATGTTGAAATATTGTTGTCATCCAAGTACAATTCTCTGAGCAGGACTTGATTCTCCAGACATGGAAGCTACATTTAAATTTAATTTACAAAGGTAATTAATTTATTCATTCAAACTTTAAATTTTAAAATAAACTAATAAAAACACCACATTTATTATAAAATGTTTATTAATTCAAAATGCCAATCTTGCACAATATAAATTGTAAGGTTGACAGTAATGTTTTTCATACAATCCCTTAATTTTTTAAAAAAAGATGACTTAATAATTATAATTATCACTTGCTAAATAATGTCTCATACTTAAGAGAAAAACTGCTAACTTATTTGTCTCATACTTATCAGAAATATCATATGTGAAAAAGGTGTGATTTAATATCTAATACTGTATGAAAAATAAATACAAGACTAATTCCATTTGAAAATAGCAAAACTACACTGACTTTTTTAAGTCAGAGAAATCCATTTCAGTTTAAAACAAAAGAAAAATCTATTGCAGATTATGACTACAAAATAATAATCAGGGATAAAATTATTTTAAAACTACTAAAACAATAAGGCTATCATGCTATATATAGTTACACAAGAAAAATTACATATATATTTATCACTAGTGTGAAATAATTTACCTCAGTTAGGTAATTTCCCTGTAACTTCAAAATCTGAAGTAAACCACAATCTTTAATTCCTTCAACTTTAGTAAGATTATTATAAGAGCAGTCCAGGTACATAATAGTAGGAACACTGCAAAGACCTCTGGTGCTCATTAGCTGATTGTGATCCACAATTAGTTGCTGAAGAGATTTCAAAGATTCTAATCCACCTGAAAGAAAAGTTGCTAAGTAAGATCAGTGGTACTATAAAATCTTTCAAATCCTAAGTGTGGCTCATTTTCCAAATTATTATCTACTATATTTCCAAAATTTTAAGTTAGGACTTATTTTAAATTTTTTCTAATTTGTTTTTAACAAAAGTAATTAAATTTTTATTATAAAAGTATAATAAAATTACAATTTGAAATTAATATCTTAATTTTTCTGAAACTTGTCAAATCAACAAGCATTTATTAAGTGCCTATTATATGCCAGACACTATGGAAATTTTAGAACGTGGTACCAATTTAATAATACAAGATTAAATAAAATAATTCTTTTTTAGGTTACCAATACGACACTTCTACCAATATTGGTAGAAGGGTATGAAGTAAAGAGCAAGGAGAGATTTTTTTAACTGTCTAAAATATTTGTTGTGCCATTTTCTATGTATTTAATTAATTCTTTTTTCTTAAAGAAAGTTGCCATTTTCCAATGACTGGTTACCCCCACCTCTCATCCCAACCCTGAACCTTGCCTTCTGACAAATATATTTAAACCAAACAATACATGACATTGACCATGTCAGACAATGCATGCCTCCTTCTGCACCAGTGGAACATTCTGGTTGTTTATCAATCTCTTGCCAATCTTCTCCTATAATATAATTCACTGATAACAACTTTTACTCCTGTTTTTCATAGTTCATTGTCAGCTGTTGTAGCCTACTCACACCTACCATACTTTTCCTCCACTGATTTCTCTCCCTTTCTCTCTGTGATGCTTATCTTTAGTTCTGTAGCATTCCACATCTTGCTGCCATAAAGCAACTTCAATAAAATACTATCATTCAAAAGATAGGTCTTTGCTTTCATCAGACACTTGGAGTCAATAACGTAACTTTGACATTTCTCAAAATTTAGCCAGCCCACTCTTCTCATATTCAACGTGAGCCCATCATATCATCCTATACATGTTATCTGTCCCAGACACTCATCTACCCTATGAAATCTGGACAACAGCCGTTCTTCATCTACTTGGTTTTCCTACGTCAATGGACAGGTAAACTACTCTGAATGACTGCAGCTCACCTCCAGAAAGCTCTGCAGTCTTTTGGACTTTGATGCAATCAGCACAATGTCATCCTTAAACAAGAGTATGTAAAGGACTTCATCATCCACAGGGAGTTTCTCCAATCCAAACACTGGATTGTTACAATGAATATCTTTGCCAGGTATATATCTCTCTATTTTATGACCAACCTAACCTAACATTTTCTTCCAGGGAGTCATTGAACAGAATTTTTTCTGTTGTCATTTCTTCTAAGGAACCTGGAATGATCTTGATGACTCAATGAGAGTTGCAAGGTTGTAAAATAATCTGTAGAGCGTTATTTTAGCAGATCAAATGCTGATCACATACTCCCTTTACCATAATTATGTGGTTATATCACTTCTTTCTCATTAAAGAGTAAATTATCTAAGAATCAGGGTTGTGCCATTTTTATCTTAATATGCCAAGCACACACCACAGTTTCTGGTACACAGTAGACATTTAGTGAATATCAAGGTATGCTACTAAAAACTCTGATTCTGGAAAGAATAGCTAAAGAAAATTGTGAAACCTTTCTTTGCAAGTATTTAAAACTCTATCTAATGTTCTAACAAGACAAGCTAACTGTTGTCTTAAAGTAATTTCCAAATATATGGGAAAAAATATATATGTACATGTGTATATATACAAATATATGACATACATATGTATTCAGAAGGTGCCGATCGTGTAATTTTCAGTAATTGTGGAGATTATTTGTAAGCTAAATATTTTCAAATATTGTTTCAAGTATATTTCAAATAGTGTTTCAAATATTTTAAAAACATTTCATATATATTCTTTATTTTTTGAGTCAATATATAGTCTAAAGATTAAGATATACTTTCAAGTTAAACTTAAAGCTTTTTAACTTACTTACCTGAATTTACCCCAAATACCATAAAAGAATTTACTAGTCTAGGATTTCTCATCAGACTTTTCAATTTAGTGTGGGAATATACATGAGCTATTCCACCAGAAAGATGGATGGATTATCAATGGGTAGGTGACTTTTAAAAGTCATACAGTATGGGGGGGGGGGAACCTAATATAGGGAACTGACATATTGATTTAATTCTGAAAGAATTCAGAACACTTAAGAAATCTATTTCCCATCTTTTGAAAACCCTGCCTTTCTCTCATTTTCATTTTCTTTTTTTTCCCTCTGCCTGAACTTTCCCTCTCAAGAAATCTCAGGATCCTAGAACATGAGAATTTGAAGGTGCCCTAAATTTTTTCTGCTTTAATCCTCATCTCCCTCTGTCAATAAGACTCATAAACTTCTTCTACAACATCCCTAACCAGCAGTCTTCAACCTTTACAGGAATACTTTCAGTAACAAGGAATTCAGTATTTCATAAGGCAGACTATTTTTTCTGATATCACTTTAATTATTAGAAAGTTCTTCCTTAGAACGAGCCAAAACTCTCAATATTTTTCTATACATAATTACTACTAGAATGGAAATAGAAACATTATTCAAGTTTTAGAGAAAGAGAAAAGAAATTCCAAAAGGGAAATCTTTGAAAAGTACATGGCAAAACTTAATTATTAACAAATTTATAAAAAATTTCCAAAAATGTATGGGTAAATTTTAAGGGTACTGGAAAATGATTGCAGAAAAAACATAAATTTAAAAAACAAACGCTTATTTTGAAAATTATAGTTCATTAAACATATTTAATCATATTACTGGCTCTAAATAATAGCTAAATGCTGCCATTGTAATTTTTGCTGTTATCATGATATTTTTGGATGAGGAAGAAATCATACAAAAAGGAGGAAGAAAAACAGTCAAATCTGTTAAAAAAAATACTAGGAGTAAATGAAATCAAAATTCACATAGAAGAACTTCCCTGCAATTAAAAATGACCCTTCTGCTTATATAGTAAATTGTCTGGTGTGGCTGGGGAGCAGGCTATTCTGACTTATTAATATTTGATTTGAAGAAAACTAAATCTTCCATAATTCAGAAGATACCTCAAGATATTCTAGGATGTCATTATGGAGGCCAAAAGTATCCGGTTTGCAGTGAATTTTGGTGAGGAAATAATATGTATCAGGCACTGTGCTAATCACTGTGTAAATAGGCTCAAAGTTGATCCTCATAACAACCTAAGAGATAGGTGCTATTATTATTATCTTCATTTTACTGTCGAGGAAACTGAGACAGAGAGAGGTTATGTGATTTGACCCAGGCCACACACCTAGTAAAGTGTCTGAGGCTGTATTTTTGAATTCATATCTTCCTGACTCTAGTCCCACCATTCTATCCATTGCACCACCTAAACCAGTTGATGAAATGCCACACAAAAGACACTTTATTGTATACTTACTGCAAGGTTGCTAAAGTCAATGTTCCATAGCTTTCTCCCTCAAAAAGGTCTAATATTTTATTTAAGCTAGCAATACAGATCCAGAACTAATGTAAAATGGACACAACTTTTCATTAGATTAGACTACACTTCATTCAATATATTTAGCATTATTTCTGTAATACTAATTACATAATTACATGGTAATTATAATATAATACTCAAATGGTATTACATTTAAGACTGTACTCATTTCCATAGTAATTAGCATTTGTACATTTTTTTATAAATCAATGAAACCATAAACATATCACTTTCTGTACTATCATATCAATCAATTAACAAATATTCATTAAGCACTTACCACATGCCAATCTCTGTGCAAACATGAAAAATGAAACAAGTCCTACTCATCCTAATGTTCTGTTTGGGTAAAAAAAAAGTTTGTCTTCATTTCATGGAAAATTTCATGTCTATTTGTGAAGCAAAATTGTAGAAGTGGGCAAAAATGCTAAGAAATAAAAAAAACTATAGGAAAAATTTCTTCATGTATCAGTGACATGAGTAAATAAATATATTTTCTCAGGCTAAATTTTTAATTGAACAGAGCTGACAAAAGATTGTTATTAAAAAGTTATAACTACTCAAATCTTTAAATAGTTAAGATAAAAATATATAGCATCATATTGGTTGATGATTTTAGAGACTTGGGGGAGGGAAGGATATTACAATTAAATAAAGACACCAAAGCCTACGTGCTTATTAAAGCTGAATATTTGGTAGACATTAAGTAAATGTTTGTTGAATGTATTAATATCTTCTCAATAAATAATTTTTAAATAACTGATTTTACTGCACATAGTATATAAAGTATGACCTTTTATAATGTTAATAATTATACAATAACAATCTCAAAATTGGAAGTATCCTCCAGTAGAAGGGATCATTTAGTTTAAACAATCTACATAAAAACCTCCTTTCTACCATCCTCAACAAAGTTCAATAGACTCCAGTAAGGGGAAACTCACTAGCTCCCCTGGTAGCCTATTCTACTTTTGAATAGCAATAATTGTTAAGCTGTTGTTTCTCACCTTGAAACTGGGGGTAGGTTTTTTTTTTTCCTGCTTTTATGGTCTTTGAAGAAAATAAATAGGAAGGATAGGGGACTTCATTGGGGAGGAAAAGATGAGGAAGGAAAGGAAACTCACTATCTGCCATAATAGAAGAGGGGTAGCATGAAATGAAGAGTATACAAATATGGAAGAAAGGCGGAGAGAATGAGCACCAAGTGAATGTCACAGTTTCATGTGAATCAAAGAAAAGCTGAATACATTCATTTTATGGTGGCAAAGACCTGCAAACTAAGGAAATGCTTACCTATGCCAACTAAGTGGCATAGTGGATATGGTGCTAGAGTCAGAGTCAGACCTGAGTTAGAATCCTGTCTCAGATACTTAACTAGCTGTGTGACACTGAGTAAGTCACTTTACCTCTGAGCCTCAATCTCCTCATATGCAAAATGCCAATAATAGCATACATCTTTCACAGGGTTGTTGTGAAGATCAAATGAAAAAACATATGTAAAGCGCTTTGAAAACTCTAAA